GATACCTGCTGCCTATATAAATGTATTGGCAGGTGCCGACACGGTGAAAGACGGCGCCGTGTGTGTGTTCATTCGTGTTACGTCTCGGTCGTGAGTTGACAAGCAGCCGGAGGGAAAGAGAGGCCTGATGGGTATTATGCAAATGAGGCCAGCTGTTTGCTGCATTGGCAGACTCCTCATAACTCTCTTCTAGTTCTGCTGGAAGAGAGGGAATATTTTTACCCTCCTCGTCGCTGCGTTCTCTCGCCTCTTCTTTTATTTCCTCAGAGAATGTATTTTCTACATGCCGTAATTTTACACACACCCATCCCTCTAACGCGTTTTTTTTGTTGTTTTTTTTACCGCTATTCCCCCGCGAAAAGCCCGGCTATCCATCTGCACTGTTACGATAATGAATGGACAAACAGGGGAAAGCTTCCTTAAGCATTTGTTGACTTCTGCAGTATAAAGTAAATTATTCTGAGGCTCCAGATCCACAGCTCACTGAAAAACAGTGTTTTCTGTGAATAGGTCTCATGTTAATTCAGCCACTTCATTTCAGTCAGTGGAAATCTCTCTCTCTCTCTCTCGTGGGATTTAAAGAGATTCTTTTAACGCTATTTCTCAAGATACATTTTGTTTTTCATTAGCAACATTAGCATTCGTTTAGAGTCGTGTTTCTGTCCACCTGATGACGTTAAGCCCAATATTTTCTCTCCTTTTAGCTCAGTTTTGGTCTCCACCACCTCCCGAAGAAGATATCGGACTCTCTAGCTGCTAATGTTCACCGGCTAGCTACTCTGTCTGCTGTTGCTTGAAACAGGGTTGGTGTGAGAGCTGAGAGTGAAGCTAAACAGTAAAGTTGCCATCTGTAAAACCAAAACAATGAGCTGAAAGACACTAAAAGCCTCCACATTTCTCTGTGGCTTAGTGCAGCATTAAAATCACCCTTCATTCAAAAGAAATTGCTTTTTGGATAACAAAGTTGTAAACTATGTCTCCAAGCTCACCACTGTAGCTACACATAACTATTATTATAACAACCATGGCAGAAGGATGTCAATGTGATGACTCCACAAGCATTTGTCCACAAATGTGTGCAGCCGACGCCGATTTATCCAACTCAAAGATGCCTGATGTGGCAAATGAATATGCAAATGAGCGTATGACATCATCTTGGCACCTTCGAGCAACACTCATCGCCGCCTTCCCTCGGGCGGCAGCCGCACATGTGCCAACATTACGCGTTTAACCGATCAGAACTATAGTCGGCTGCTAAAATATTCCGGGTAACTTTGCACTTTGCTCAAGTGTCTCGAGGTGAGAGAGATGGAGCCGGTTCATTTATTAAATCCGAGCACGGCTGTCTTTGAAGTCGGAGAAAAAAGTACTATAAAAGGTACATTTTGGAATAATAAAACCTAATGAAACACAACCTAATCACTGAGGTTTCAAACTGCCTTTAAAAGAGGCATCATCTCTTCTGTCCCTGCATAACCTGTTCAGCATACATACGTCGCTGAGGTGCTTTGTGAACGGATGAAACCACTTGGACAGGCCTCGTGTTAGATGTTTCATCTGAATTCAGTACAGCCAGCTTCCCAGCGTTCACTCTCACCAGGCGAGTGTGTCAGGCAGGATCTCCTCATGCAAAGAGGCGTGAACGAATGCTTTCTCTGAGAGCGGAATTGATTTGGTTGCCGTTGGCCTCGTGGTGATTACCGACTGGAGGCCTTAGTCTACCCTGCTTCTTATTTACCGCCACATTAGTGGCGAGTGCACCTCCGCGCGTGCCACCACGGAAAAAAAAAAACTCACGGAAAAGCCCTCAAATCGCTGTGAAATTACACCGGCTCTGTACCTTGAGCTACATGTAAATGAAACTTGTCACGGCGCCGTTGGAAGTGTCACCTGTCACCTCCGTGTTTACCTCGTTGCCTCACAGATACACTTGTTTATCCACTCCACTCGAGTGTTGTTTCCCCGAGTGAGAGTGCAGCGGAGACAACCGGATGTCACCGGGAGCAGCTGAAAGCAGGTGTTTCTGTGAAGCGGTGAATGTTTACTCTCAAGCACTTATAGTTCTTCTTCATCTGAAGATAATAAAGATCATCCTTATTACCTACTCAGCACAATATGTCTCCTACGCGCACCGGAGGAGGAAGTTCCCGCATCACGCGCCAGCCTCACGCTGGGCCGCGATTTGGCTTCCGGCTGATTGTGATGTTAGAGCTCCTGCTGGTACGTCCGGGTGTTACACACAGATCTGAGCTCAGAGAAACTTTACCTTGAAATGATTGTTGCTTGAATATGCAATGACACTGCAGTATTACCGGCTCAACTTCATAATATGTCACACTGGATTAGTCCAAAGTAAAATATAATGCAGTGTGTGTGTGTGCTTGTCTAGAGGTAGATTTAAGCCTACTGTAACTGTTAGGAAAAAATCAATAGTGTCATCACTCTCTCTCTCTCCCACACCCACAGACACATACACACACACACACACACACACATACACACACACACACACTTGGGAATAACGGGCTCGAATCAATAATTCTATAGTGCTAACAGAAAGCTTCCACTGCAGTTTAAAGGCTTGTTGCGCGCACACACACACACACACACACACACACACACACACACCCTTTGACACACACTCGCAAAAATACTGAGCATTCAACAGCAGAGCTGTGAGCCAAAACCTGGTATGTCACACACACTCATTGCACCTGAACTAACTTGAACACGGTTAAATGGAAACTCAACCCTGCTGATTGACTTCACAAGATCTTCGTGATCAGGACGACCACTGGTAGCTGGGGACCAACCAACACTCCAAGCCTCATGTCCGCCAAAAAGTGCCTTCAATCGGCAGTGTGGGAACATTTTGGATACAGTAAATGAGCGGGATCCTCATCGGCCTAGCTTCAGTAAAAGTATGCGATCTGTAGATGGGCGTTTAGGCCTTCTAGATGCTGGTGTGACAGTGATACAGTGCAGGAGGAGAGCTGCTAGCGCTGTTACTACTCTGACAGCAACAGCTGTTGTTGTAACGGAGAAGAGCCGTACGGCGGTGTAATCTAGTAAAACTGTGTAGAACTGCGGTTGTTTGAAGGAGATGTTTTCACAGTAACAGATATTAGAGGGTGAATATGACCTGTTGAACTTCCAAACACTAGCTCTAAGCAGCTTATAATACAGAATTAAAATGTATTTATTCATCAATAAAAATTTGTTTTGATAAATAGTTGATGATGATAATAATAGATATTTGAGTTCATTGGCTGTAGGCCGATTAGAAATAGATTGAAGGAAGATCAACCGAGTGAAAGCATTATCATATCAGATAAAACAGATGTTGACAAACTGCATCATTTGCAGTTTGCAAACAGGTAATAAATCCCAATATATCCCAATGTTTGAGATCGCAATACTCAGCAATTTGCGAAATGTTTTAAATCGCAATAATTTCGTATTGTATCCTGATTCGATGGCATCGTGGGGCCTCTGGTGTTACCTGCCACGATGTTGCCAGACGTTTGGTTCACCAATCGGAGGGTAAAGTGTGGACATGTTGCCCTGGTTCCTAGACATAAAAGGAGCAGCAGGACTCTCAGAGTCTTCCGTTTGGCGTTTACAATCCTCCGCGTTTCCGTTTAAGCTGCAGAACACATCCAATAACTCATCTCACCAGAACAAACACAGCCATGATAAGGTGTTGTAATCAGTCGCTCATTGTCTCCCTCTATCCCTCCTTAGTCTCCGTGCCTCGTCCCCCTCGCTTTCTTATCATCCGTCTCCCCTCCGTCTCTCTCTCTCCTCCCCCCCCCCCCCCCCCCCTCCTCGGGTCCTGCATCCAGTTTGCATTTTCCTTCCAATCAATTCTCCCCCGGAATAAATATGAGAGGAGTGGAAAACTAAACGGTGAGCAGGGGCGATAACGGCGGCATCCATGGGTGTGTGGGTGAAAACAAAGTGAGAGAAAGCACTCACGGCCATGAATGTACTTACTCTCGTTCTCACCCCTCCGCAAGAAAGTGTTGAAAGTAAAGTAGATTTTAATTCCCTCCCTGGCTCCCTTTTTGCTTCCTCCTTCCCGGTGCCATATGCTCAAAGCTCCATCTCGGGCTCATTTGGAGTGCTGCACGCACACACACACACACACACACACACACGCACACGCACATGCACACACGCACACGCACACGCACACACACACACACACACACACACAAGCTCCATCAAAGCACAGGAACAGCTGGCTTGCTCGATATGGATGACTACTCGCCTGTCAACCGGTTTCACACAGTACACACACACACACACACACACACACACACACACACACACACACACATCAAGCCTGGTGTTTCTTGCCGTTTTGAAAAGGAAAGTGAGTGAGAGACAGATAGAGAGTGTTCAGGTCAGAGAATTAAGTGAGTGTGTGTGTGTGTGTGAAGAAGTTTGGGATTGTTAAGATTCATCTGACATTTCAATGAGCCAAATGTGTGAATATTCACCATGATATCGGTGAGTAGAGAGAGTTGCTGTTATTATCGAACTACCCAACTCTAACAATCATGAACGGCGGTGTGATTTACGCCCTTAGAGTAAAGTTAGGTCATTTTGTGCAGTCAGACATTTGAACTTTGGTTATTTGATGCAGATATGAAGCTTTGTAGACTTTCTGTTGAGCGTGTAATGATTTTACACCGGTTCCTGGAAAGGTTTGGATTTGGACTGCATCTATGGAATGGGGCGAGTATTAAGTTGACATTGGCCTGGACATTGGCCTGCATTATGTGGTTTATGAAACTATATTTAGCACAGAAGATACTATGAAAATGTATATACAAGTAAGTAAATACATTTTAATTATCACTATATATATATATTTGTTTTAAATGACTATTATTTGTGACCCCATTGTAAATAATATGCGATATGTTGGGATCATTTTCAGAACAGCATTCATCCCTTAACAACTTGATATGTTTAGTAATATTGTCCCTTACCTCCCCTGTGTGGCCCAGGCTCAGTTTTGGCAGTTTGTTCTTGGCGTTCCCGGCGTTCCCTCCGTAGGCCTGGCTGTTGTTGAACCCCTCCGTGGCCACTAGAGGGGGCTTGAGCTGGGGAGAGTCACTCGGCACCTGGTCCTGGCCATCCATTGGGCGAACATACGCCGTGGGCTTCTGCTGGATCGCGATCGGCTTCCCCGATAGGCTGCCGGGCGGGAAGGTGGGGGTGGTCAGTCCAGACGTGGGAGTGGTCAGGCCGGGGGTGGGCGTCGTCAAAACCGAGGTGGAAGCCAGCGGGGAGGAGGACGTAGAGAGGTGGGAGCCGGCCTCGTTTTCAAACGGGGAGGATTTAAAATGTCCACCATTTTCCGTGTTAGTGGAAGACTTGAAATGGCCACCGTCCATGGTGGCAGATCGGAAATTGCCACCATCTGTAAAAGAGAATGAAAATGGAGGGAAAAGAAAAAAATAAAAAGTAAAAAATAACCACAGCAACACCTGTTCTCATGGAATATTGCTCTGCTCTGTCAGAATCTAAGGCCATAAAACTACTCTCTCCCAGATGGATGGAGCCAATCACAATCAAAGCAAATTATGTGTTTAGAAAGATGTGGTTTATCATCAGATGCAGATGTTCACTTTCACAAGCCCCGCCCAAAAGGTGATAGAGTCTGTTTTGCACTGAAAATATTCATCAGCACTCGTGGATCCAGTAGATACAAACATTTACCCATGAATATCAAAATATAAGAAGTCCTCTTTTTGTAGTGTGGATGGCAGGTTTGATCGATCCACATCAAGGAATGGTTTGACATTTTTGGAAATTAATATTAATTAATTAGTATTATTCTTAACAAGAGAGGACATGTCATGTTGTTTAGATCGTTATCATAAAGACTCATAAAGAGTGGAAACATATGTTCATGGTAGCCTTGTAGACTCAGCTAATGCTGCAGTCATGGTAGACTCCATGACTGCAGCATTAGCTTAGCATAAAGACAGGAAGCATTGGGAGTCAGCTAGCCTGGCTCCTTCTAAAGAAATCGCCATATCAGCACCATTTTAAGTAATAACATGTTAACTACTAACATTTAGAGGTGCTGGTATGCTGGTTTTTTGTAACACTGGAGAGAGTCAAGCTTACCGTTTCTTCCTGCTTACTGTTTTACTGCTATGCTAAGCTAAGATAACTGGCTGCTACCTCTACGTTTAGCATACAGACACACGAGTGGTGTCGATCCTTTCATCCAAATCTCTGTATTTTCCCCAAAATGTCAACCTATCCCTTTGAAGCCTTTCAGTGTCGGACTTACCTGGAAGAGGAAGGGTTTTGGAGGGGTGGGAAGCGTGCCTTCTCCCGGAAGAAGACGAGGAAGAGGAGGACGAAGAGGAGGAAGAAGGGCTTGAGTCGCCTTTGAGACCGAGTTCATCTTTGAGTGAGCTAAACAGCTCGTCGTGCCTTTGCATTTGCTGTTCCTCGAGTAAAGACATTTTCCCTCTTCCACTCGTGGCCGCCGTGACCGGCCCTATCCCGTTCGGTGCCAAGCCCACAATGAGGCCCCCCCCCTGGGCGCTCTGTCCGTGGCCTGCCCTCGACCAGTCCATGGAGCTCCGGGACTTTTTAGAAGTCTGATGTGGGATCGCCGTGGCGCTCGTTGACGACGCAGTCGCGGCAGGCGGCTGCATGGAAGTTGACGACGAGGAAGATGCGTTTGCCATCCTCTTCTCCCCACCTCCCTCTGCTCCTCCTCCACCTCCACCTGTTCCTCCTCTCAGGGCGTCGTTGAAAAGCTGGGACTCCATGGCGGGTCTCTCCGTCGTCGACGTGGTCGGGGTCTGCAGGTTGTTGCTGCCTTTGGGGATTCCCACCAAGTGGCTCTGGTTAGAGTGGCTGGTTAACAGGTCTTTCATTTCCTCGTAGGAACCCAGCGTGTTCTGGACGCGACTGGCCAACGCATCACCTTTATTAGTCTGGAAGGAAGAAAAAACACAAGAGGGAGAGGGAGAGAGGGAGACAAGAGCATTAATTAAGTCTTTCAATTTTCCTTTTCTTCAGGCTTGATGAAAAGCCCTCTTCATTCATCCGGAGAGGAGCAGTGCGAGACTGATAGGGTGACCACTGACCAGACATCAGGACGACATGATTAATTAAAACACATGCCACCCTTAAGAGGGTCCCGTTCGGGCTGGTGCAGTAAAATTAATGGGGCAGGAATCATTATTAGCCTGACCCCGGATTCTAAGGCAATCACGGCTTGAAAGGACAGTGCGGGCCGTGCTGATATACGGCCAGAATGGCACCTTCAGCCGCGCCCAACGCAGAGATGTTCCTCAGAATAGCTCGAGAGTTCCTTCCGTGTCAGCCACTGACAGCTTCATTAATGACGGAGCTGGACGTTTTGGGGAAAAGGACAAGGGCAGTCAGCGGGGGTTTCAGTCTATCTATATTTGGAACCGGGGGGAAAAAAGCCATGGAAGAGGAGGGACGAGTGAAGAGCGGCAGGTCATCATCCCCGTCCTCTGACATTTATTTTCTACCTGAGCGACAAATAAGTGAAGCAAATACATCAATCATGGGCCCAGTCTGAATTATGCAAGATCTGCAGCCATGAAGACATTTCATCATGAATTGCAGACAAGCGACGGATCCGTGTGAAACGTGGCATTGTAATTTAACCGTACAGAACTTTTCTTTTTGTGTGGGTTGATCGATGGAGCCATGAAGGCGAGCTATCTGACAACCTGCGCTCCGCTCAACGCCCCCCGCGGTAACACCGAGTGACTATCAAGTAAAGCTACGGTGTGTTTTTCTTCGTCTCATTTTCAAGACGGGATGAAATTGCCTGTTATTTGGAGAGGTTAATGGATTCATGAATAATGAACGTACCTTCATAGGCAGCGGGAGCTTAACTAATCGGAGGTAATATTCCTGGAGTTACATGTAATAATAATGAGTAATCCCCACAATGATTGCAGCGGAACTTAACACCAATCGTGCAGATCTGGGAGAGGCGGTCGGGGTCGATTTCCTGTCTACATTTATTTTAAAACCGCACATCTTGAACACTTTGAACTTTCAAAAGGAGTTCAGAGAAGTAATGGATCAGTTAGTGAACATGATCCAGAAGTCTTAATTTCTCCAGGAGGCATGTATCTTGGCTGGTTTTTTTCCCCGATGCAAACAGCTTCGGTCAATAACCAAACAATACTGTTACTCCGAGTTGTTAGCTAGTCCGTACGTCCTGTCCATTCTCGTGAACGCAATTTTCTCAGCGACGCCTGGAGAGGAATTCTTCAGATTTGGCACAAACTTCAACTTGGACTCAAGGATGAACTGATTAGAATTTGGTGGTCAAAGGTGGTCACAAAACACATTTTTGAGCATAACTCATATCCATATGATAATTATGACAACTTCACACAAATGTCTACTCGGATAAAAAGGTGAAGTGATGTCAGAAAGATGTCAATGTCAAATGTTTTTTTTTAAACCTGGTGAAACAAGACTAAGCGTCTACAGCAGGTCAGGAGCTCATCCAGGTCATCGGGGTTCATCCTCTGGGATCACGAATGTACAAAACCTCATGGTAATCCATCTGTTGCTGAGATATTTCAGTCGGGACCAGAGTGCTAGCATTGCTAAATGTCACTGAGACTGCTAATGAGTTATCAACCTAGATGCCAATCGATATTCAGTCCGTCAACTAACTGATGAATAGAGTAGATTCCGCTCTCGAGTTAAAGTCTATTGGTATGGGATGGAAGTCCTTGGAGAACTCGTGTGATTAAAGGGCTCTAAGCCCACCCCCGTATACGTGTTACATTCACTGCATTTGACCGAGATAATGGAGGGTTGTGTTTCTCTCAAATTTACGGACACAATCCTCAGGATTATCTAGTGGCTGAGACATAACTTCTACCTCTCAAGGGCCGTTTTTAACAACTACCAAAATCAATAGCCGGATGAGTCTCCTGAATTCGGACTCATTATGCTTTTTAAGCTCTAACTGATACTTCCCCTGTAACAATTTCTGTTTGGCAGACACAAAGACTACCTCAAATTATTGAGATGTCATCGGATAACCCTTGTGTTTGACATAGTTTTTTTAAGAAACACAGACTGAAAGGATATCTCTGTTACTATTTAAAAAATGAATAGGTGAACAGCAGGTTGAAGATGACAGACCCTTGTGATCCTCACCAAAACCTCAAGACAAATGTATGTGACTGAAAGCAGCATTCACCTCTTGTACCACGTCTCACTTTATCCTTCATTTTTACACTCTAATAAAGCAGAAAAAAACGAAACAAAAAGAAACGGGGCAAAGAATCACGCCTTATTTACAAAAGATCCACAGAAGAAAGGAGAGAATTGCTTTCAAATAATCTTAACAGATGTAATTTCTGCTGTGAGCGCACACGCACACACGCACACACACACACACACACATACACACACACACACACACACACACACACACACACACCGTGGCAAGCCGAAGTTAGCTGTGAATAAATTATCTCATCTCTTCTCCATCTCGGGCTCATGAATAAAAGATCTGGTGGCTGAAGAGGAACAGAAAACACATTTACAGAGAGGCAAAATGGAAAACAGAGGAGAAGGAGAGGATGAATACCTATGTGTGTGTGTGTGTGTGTGTGTGAATAGATCATCCCAAATAGCTGCTAACAGCATAACGCTCTTTAACAGGATTAGAAGAGGGATTAGCTAATAGCTGACAGAGAGAATGAACACTGACGAGAGAGAGAGGGAAAGACAGAGGAGAGTGACGGACGCGCGATAGCTACACAGGTACAGAGAGAGAAAGAAATAAAACGAGAGAGGGACCAGGAATGATAGAAAACTATAAATCCTATGTGATAATGAAAAAGGGCTGATATAGATCTTTAAAAGGAGCAGTTCAGTAAGTTCAGTCAGCACTTTGACTCAGAGAAAGTGCAGTGAGGTTGCACAGGCCTTGGTAAAGCAACACCCTCAGAAAAAAAATAAATAAATAAATTGGTAGTGTGGCGAATAAATCAGCAGAAGAAAGTATCAAGGTGTGCCAAAGCTGTTTGTCGAGTTTAACAGCAGAGAGAGATAAACTGGGGAAGTGTGTGGTGGAAAAAGATGAGTTTGAAAGAGGTGGAATATGAAACAAGTACACATGCTGTCGTCTCTTTATGAAGGATGCAGTCACCCCCTCTGGGCCAGTCGCATCATTGCTCCAAACTTTGTTTGAATTACATTTACCTCCGTGAGGTAACTTAATCACTGTAATTACTGACGGATGTAGAACTCCTCAGCAGCCTACTGAAGGAATCCAAAATGAGAGAACACCAAAACTCAGCTCTAGAACTGTCTACATCTCTGCTTCCGTGTGTGTGTGCGCCTGTGTCTGTCCACGGCTAATGTCGCATTCTGCTGCAGCAAACTGCATAATATTTTGGGTGGCCAGAGTTATGGCTGCATGTACAAGGACCTCTCGTGGTTGCGGTGACTCACACTCTCTCAAAACACCTTTAATTTCCTGTTTTATACCGCCATTGACTGCCTGCTGACTCCTCACTCACTACTCTTAATAACCGGCTAGTGATAACAAAGCTGAGTGCATCGCCGACTGCCTAGCCGCTACTTTGTGCCCAAAGAGTTTAATGGTGTATTGACAGCGTGTTTGGCTAACTGCTAACGACAGGAGTGATTTGTTTGGCTAACAGCTAACGGCGTGGACGGTGCGTTTGGCTAACAGTTAACGGCAGGAACGATTTGTTTGGCTAATGGCGTGGATGCTGTGTTTGGCTAACAGTTAACGGCGAGGAAGGTGTGTTTGGCTAGAAGCTAACAGCATGGACGATGTGTTTGGCTAACAAAACAACCATACACACACTGATGCGTACCTCTCGGCCGCATCTCTGCAGCTCACTTTAATTATTTTTGGGACGGTGTGTTCGGCTAACTACGGAGCTACCATGGTAAAGCATTACCGTTTTGCTAAAAGACTAACATTTATCAGGTGGCCAGAAACACGACTCTAAACTAATGCTGGATGTTTAAATGAGCCTGTTTGCTGACGTGTTGACCATATCAGCTTCATAAGGTAACATATGACAAAACAATCTCAACTCAAGGTCCACATACACTTACTATGAAGCCCTTGACCCTCATCAAAGAATCAGATGTGAAAGATTTAACAGATGATATATCAAAATGTTTTATGATATATCAAATCAGTGCAAGTATTATGGAAACAGCACAGGAAGGGATCCCCAAATGTTTACCCCTCCCTAAATTGAGGTTTATGTAACACTTGACCACATGAAAAGAATCCTCTGTAACCAGTCATCTAATGGATAAGCGAGCCTGATGAAACATATTTAACTCATTTGCTCTTCCAGTACTTGCAAAAATGCTCAAATAAATTAAATGTATTTGGCTCCAATCACTGTAATAATCTAAACTCCAAAAGTCCACAGTCATCCCCCTAGACACACACACACACACATCTTGACCTGACCTCAGCACCATTAATTAGCTGGAAACAATCAGTTGGAGTGTGGCAGCACCTCGGATTAGATTCATCATGAGAACAAGCTCTCGTGTGCTGCTGAACCTCGAGCAGCGCCTCAGCCAGAAGCCCTCGTGTCCTCTGCGCTCAGACACAACAGCCGTTAAACACGTTCTGTCGACATTCAGAGCCGGTCCGTCCCAAGGTCGATACACTTGGCGGCATAACTGAGTGTTGAAGTGCCTGACGGCAGCAAATGAGAGTTAACAAACCAAAATCAATTTCAAACACAGGGGCAGGAGAGTGGCCGTGGACTCCATGCATGGCTGGTTCGCTTTCAGCTTGAAGAAGAAATAAAAGGATGGCACCTCGAGTGCCTCGGAACGGAACGGACCACAACCTCATGCTCGGGGATATTAAACTGCTGGCCCCCGGAGAGGAAGGAACGGCTCCAATAGCCTGTGATGATCCATTTCCCCTCGTCGGCTTCGTCATCCGCAAAGAAACAGAGTTAAAGGGCATTATGGGGCAAAATAAATGTTTGGATAATTGTTGGTTTGCAATAACAATCCCTTTCAATTGCTTGCTTGCGCGAGGCTAAAATTCTTTCCAATGAGGCTAAATCACAAAGCGGGGCTGCTTTCTTCGCTGATTAAGACGTCGTTAATTCACTCCCGTTTCCCCAAATGAAACTCTGGTGTCAGGTACGGCCGTTCTTCCCCCACAGAGATCGATCACGACTTAACGGCCGAGCATAAAGCTTCTCCTGAGCGGCGACGGGAGAGTACTCGGCATCCCGGCTTGGCCAGGTTGTAAAGATGAGCGTGCGTATGCTGTGTGCAGCTCAGCGACGTTACAGTCCTGACATTCAGACGGTTACTGTTCGCTGGAAAAAGTATTCTTGAAGATAATTGTGAGTTAGATGAAGAGTCCACTACGTGCAGAGCTGTTAAGCCCCATTCGAATGGAATTAACATTACAGTTTTTCTGTTGCCGTATTGGCTCTCAAACACGTGTCGTACTAGCAAAACATTTTGGATTGAATCCATTTTCACACAAAAGTCAAATGTCACACTGATAGAGAGAAAAAAAAGGTAGAAGGAGAAGAGAACAACTAAGAGATCCACTTTAAAATACAAGGAGGTCTGGATATAAATTACAGGAGGACCAGTGAGTTGGATGTAAAACAGCAGGTAATTGGGGCTGTAATTATTAGCCTCAGACCTCCCCTGGAGCAACACATCCAGTCCAAACAGGGCGTTTTTATGGAAGCAGGGGGAAACAGCTAACGCTCACATGGCTCACGCCAACCACCAACACCTCTAAAGCTGAATAATTAACACGTTGAATCTCATAATTAAGGCCCTTTTTGCACACAAACAGAAATGTAAAATTAACAAAAAAAGCCAATTTACGGCTTTAGGTGGAGTTACATGCTGTAAATATTTCTTGATAAAACTTCAATCTTTATTCTACATTATGCCAACCGCCTCCCACCAGAGTGTATTAATCTCATCACCTGAATGTCAGCAAAGCATATAGCATACGTGATTAACTAGTGAATGATCTCTTACTTTGTAAGGTTCTCCAAACAGGTTGAATCCGGTTGAGAACAGGTCTTCATCCTGTTGGACCTCCTGGTTCCTCCTCTCCCATTCCCTTCTCTTCAGGGCGCTGCGATCCGACTCCAGATGACTGGGGGGGGGGGACACACACACAAAGAGAAGAGAAGCTTGTTAGCACCCCCCGCTGAGGCCGACACGCCGCCTGCCACCAATCAAACCCACCGGTTATTGAATTGCTAACAAGTTGTTTTTTTGGATCTGCAGCGAGTGTTGGCTGAAATTCTTCTCCCACTGTGTGATTAGAGTAGCCGGTAAAGGCTAACAGTAATAAAAAAAAAAACAAGAACACAGGGTAACTCAGGTCAGTCTGGAAATGAATCAAACTCAAGGGAGAAAAACATGAAAGAAAGAAAGCTGAATGCTGGTTTAAGTTTCAAAGAATCCACCAGAGGATAAGTAACGTGGGTAAAAATACCCAACTAGATTTATGAGGCTGAATGGTTTGTTTTAGATCACTAATAACACTCAAAGCTGTCTGTGGCTGTGATACCTCACGTCCAACACATGCGGCCTTCCTCTGAAACTAACACCCTGATAATCTCTCCTCTGTCAGACACATAAACGTTGTGACCCGACTGTTTGTTCTTCACAATTCATGGCAAGATTCCCGTTCCTCTGACTCGGCGCTGTGTTTAAGTGCTTCTTTTTCAGTCCAGACTTTTGTATGAACTCCGGCGGTCTTGAATGTGATTTGTAATGGCTGCTTGACCTTCAGACTCCCACAGTGTGCTTATCCCATGCTACTACAGACCCTGGTGCTGACATACGGGTCAGACCTTTCTAAATGCTATCGCCCGTAGCTTTTAGAAGCTTCTATCTGTGGGAGACAACTTTGTTTTTTTTTTTGTCAAAACAAGATCAGCCAAGGTTAATATATTTCAGAATTCATGAGGAACAGTAGCAACGGTTGTTTCGTTTTCAAGTTGATCCGCAAGAAAAACGTCTGGTGGGTCTTTGAGATGTGGAGGAACAGTGGGGGAGAAAAATATATCTGGTCCACGTAGCAGATCATATCTGTGGGTTCAGCATGGAGCTGGGGGCCGGGAGGCAAATAGCGTAGCTTAGCATAGAGACTGGAATGGCTGAAAAAGTATGCCCTGAATACAACCTTTAAGGCTGCAAACCCGTTGTATCTTATTTACGCACACAAACAGAAATTTAAACTCGACAATGTGTGGTTTAACGTCACTGTATCTGACTCATGCAACTCATCCTAGACTCACAAATTGATGTTTTTCCGTGACTGTCTTCCCCTGCTTCCAGTCTTTATGCTAAGCTAAGCTAATCACCTCCTGGCTCCGGCTTAGCACAAAGACACAAGAGTGGTACTGAGCTTCTCATCTAACTCCAAGACAAAATAAAATAAAAATACGCGTACCTCCACAAATATTTAACTATTCCTGTGCACCCTGTGTTATGTCTGTGGAAGGCATTAGGCCAAAACTCATCAAGTGGAAAATAATGACATTAATTGAATGAAATAATGAATGAGCGTCTTTTCATACACAGTCTAAAAGGAGAACCAACACACACTATCGTTGGCGCTGTTTAAAACGCAGCAATAAATTGTCTGTTCCTACAACATCAGCCGGAGCTCCAGAGAGGCGACCCTTTCACAGCTTCTCTATTTATAATAAGGTCAACATGATGTAACATGTGCCATTAGCCGGGTGCTTTCATTCATGAGTGCATTAGTATTTTAACGTAGGTGGACCCCAGTGACAATACGAGTGCTCATCCAGGCAGCGTTTGTGACGCTCCGTACCCGCTGAACCGCACCGTGTCCCGTCACGCCGTCACTGGGTCGGATCCCAATAACCATTAGCTTTTAATCTTTCCGCATTCTGTTACGAACTACGGTTGTCTGTCTTGAAAAGCTTGACTTATTGCTTGAGGGTACGATTCAAGGTAAAATATGAGACAGCGGACAGTGAGCGACGATGATGACGGTGGTCTGCTATAGAGGGGGCGGTGAACCCCAGGTTTTCTATTTTTAGTGAAACCCCCCCTTTTACCGCACAGGTACCGATTCACCCTGCCCTCCTTAAACTTTTTCAGTCACCAGCCTCCTCTGAGAAATCGACAAGCCGGCAGCCAAACTCACAATCTCACGAGTACAAAGCGTGTGTGTGTGTGTGTGTGTGTGTGTGAGTGTGAGTGAGATGGGATTATGCGCGAGGCTGTGGCCCACCAACCCCGGAGAGGGCATCCTGTTTTACCACATCCACCGCTGCAAGATGAGACCGGCCGGCTAATTAGCGATCAACACAACTAAGAGAGACTCTCTCTCTCTTTTTCATTTTTGTTGTCTACCAGACCTTGCCTTCCACATTTAATCTGTCAGTAAAATGTGAGTGGGCGGGAGAAAGAGTGGAGAGGCAATGAGAGGAAAGAGAGAAGGGAAAACAAAAGAAAACACAGAGACCCATGGGAAAAAAAAGACCCAGTTTTCAGGGCAACAGTTTCTTAAAAAAGAAAGAAAAATAACAGAATGATGAAAGACAAGAGTGGAGAGACGGGGAGGGGGGTGTAGGGAAAGGAAGAGCAAGAGAAGACAGCGGTGGGAATACCAGAACACAATGATTGGCAGGTGAGGTGCGTGCGTTACGGCGGCGTGTGCGTGGATGTGATCGCTGTGCGTGCTGGGACCGCTGGTCGACATGCGCATCGTCTGTCAGCGCAGAAAGATAACTGACAGAGCTGTCACTGCGACAAACACACACCCACACACCCACACACACACACACACGTGTATATGCACACAGCGCTGCAGTCCCACGCCACAGATCACTGTCTCTGTCTGTCACGCGCTAGACGTAGAAGCGGAGGGAATCAGGTCAGAGGAGGTAATTAACACATCCAGGAGTTACTTCCCGGCGTGCGACACTACCCGTCTCTCTCACACACACAGGTTAAACTGCAGCTCGGTCTTTTTTTTACACATCAATAAAATGACTTTACAGGGTTTTTTTAACCATAGCGCTAAGATCAACCAGGTCAGTAAGAATGTTTAACACGTTTATTTTTTTAAAGTCACAGCTATAATATGGTGGACACTTAATTTAACTTAACGCCATACTGCGCTTGGCTGAAATAGTCTCTTCCAAGTAAAAACAATAAGGCTGCATGTCAGAGTGTAGGGAATGGGGGTGCTAGCCCTGGTTTGGTCCTGCCGCCATGACAGGAAGAGGTGAGGGTTTGGCGGGTGTGTTGGCTCGAGGAATCTTCAGGAATCAGGAGTCCAGAATTGTGGCTCACCACCAACTTCACTCAACTCAAAGAAAACCTGACCTCAAGTTATTGACATGGCCAGAATTCACCATTAGTCGTCTGTCTTTCTCAACCAGCAGGAAAAAGTTCATTCCTTCAGCTTGAATTTCTGAATAAAACTAAACTAAAAAACGTGACTATGACTTGACGATTCATGTATTTATTCAAAACCCATAGGGATTAGCACATTCCTTGTATTATTCCTTGAAGTGATCTGGTGTAAAGTTAAGTTTTAAACACAGTATTATGCTGAGGTGAATTTTACTTCAGTGACTTAACCAAACATTCAGCAATTAGCTTAATGCTCTACAGGTTAGTTAACCTTAGTATCACCACAGCTTTCAAGTACTACAACACTCTGCTATTCATGTACCTACAACTGACCATAACCGACTCACCTATTTCAGCATCACTCATTCACTCGACGGGATTCAGTGAGCAGGGCCACTTTAGCACACATTAAAACAAAGTATGTGATGTTGAGATTCATATTTCACAGCTGTTTATCACAGTTGGTATTGTTCCCTTCCCCACAGTGTCACCCAGCGTCGGACTAGCTCATGCAGCCTAGTCGCGTCTCCCGCCGCCCGTTCCTAATGATGGCGAAGTCATGACCCGCCCTACTCTGCCTCTGATTGGCTAGTACTCGTTGTTTGGGCTGGTTAGGTTTAGACATGAGCAGTGAGATTGGTTAGGGTGAGTGTCTGGGTAAGCCAATCAAAAGCTGAGTAGGGCGGGTCTTGCGGGTCCAGGGGGAAAAAAAGATATCGCTACGGTGCTGAACACCTGCATTTTGATTGGCTTAGGCATTTCCGTGTTATTAACCTTTTATAGCCTGTTTTCAGTGATGCCAATTTAGCACTTTTGTTGCTGGATTTAGCAACTTTTGAAACTACCCAGGCATCTTTCTTTCGGTCAGAAATCACCTAGTAACAAATTTAGCTGCTTTTAAAATGTATTTGTAGACTCTGAAGAGTGATTCAAATGCTAAAATACACACATTTTCCCTACAAAAGAAACACTTTTTTCTCTATGTATGCATGCAGTATGTTGCATTCAATTGGGACTCACTACTTTATCATAATCATAACATTGCAACTTGAACTTTGACCCTCTTGCTCATAGATCTGCTGCACAGAGGATTGTGGGTTAGGATAGAAAAGCATGCTATAGCCTGCATTTACCACCGGATGTAGTAGGACATCCTGGTATTTTTGGCACACTGCATCATTGTCTGGCATACTAAACACAATGGTAGTACATCACAAGTCTACATGGCTGCATTGTGAGTGACATCAGCTGTAGTGATGGCTCAGCTCGATGGCTCAGCCAGGCCAGACACATAAAACAGCCAACTAGAACTGTTCATGTATGGTTTTACCATTTAGGTTTCAATACATAACAGGAAAAATGTGAATAAAATAAAGGTGTTTCTGTATTTGTTTTCTTAATTTACAGTGCTTTGAGCTCTCAGGGCCACCGTAGTTTCATCAACATCAGAAAATCTATTTTCCGTTCAACTTTGAGCTATAAATATTCAAGTTTTATCTGTGTTTTTTCATCCCGCATCCTCTTATTCCGTTTTTCGATAATATCACATGTTGATAGACCAGAGGTGGCAGCTAGTTCTGCTCACAGATAATAATAAGACATTTATGTTTGAAAGACATAAAAGGAAGAAAGAAGGAAAGGAAGATAGAGGGCTCGATGGCGGACAGACGGACGGACAGATGGACGGGTTTGGTGGGGGATTAATAGCAGCGGTGACATCAGCAGTGGGCATACTGTCGATGTTGATAT